CTACATGTCCACCTGATCCGCCATCTTGTTTGTTCCTACTATTTAATTTTTAAGTATTGCATTTTTAAAAATTTTGTTTTATAATTACACAAAATATTTACATGGCTCTAAAATAAAATTTACAAAACAAGATATATTAGTAAGTATATATCTTCTACCCCTATTCACTCAAATTAGTCCCCTTCCTCCACTAGACGAAAGTAGAGCTAATTTGGAGGATGTTACTGAACCAACTAATTATCGTGAATCATGGAAATAAACGGAGGCAAAATTTAACCTGAATTTCCTGAACAAAATAGGAATTTTAGCAGTAGATACAGAAAAGATGATCATCATAGAAATAGTCTAGCTAATAAATAGTTATGATAAAATTCAAATAAAACCATTTTACAACTTTTGGAGAACAAATGGATCAATTACCCAATGACACATAGGACATATAACAAAAATCAGACAGTATACAAGTCCTGGTAGATGAACAGAACACACCAACATCTGTGATAGGTATTGTCAAAATTATTGAGCCTGAATCCAATCAAGCATCTATGTCTATTTACAAATGGAAAGAAAATATAGACAATAAAGAAATATATCAAATGACCACTATAGCAACAAAAGGCACAGTCAAAATGTTTCTGCAACACATTCTAAGAAAAACAGTTAAGAGGGAAAACCTGGAATTGAAAAAATACTCAAAAGACATAAACCAACTGCAATGTGTTAACAGTATTTGGATTCTAACTTTAAAACAAACAACTTTAAGGGTTAAAAAGAAAGAGCATAACAAAATAATAATAATAATTATAGTAATTATTATTATATATAGCATACTAATGCTTGAGAACGGATTCAAAATAAAATGGTGGTAAAGGAAGTAGATTATAGTATAGAATAGGGTTAAGCAAAATTATATAAATATATATAAATAAGTAAATATATATACGTTGCTAAGTGCCATGGAGTCAGTTCTGACTCATAGGGACCCTGTGTAGGGCTTCCAAAGAGCGGCTGGTGGGTTTGAAACACCGACTTTGTGGTTCAAACTGACCTTTCTGTCCAATGCTTATCCTACGGCACTACAGCAGGATATGGATATATATAAAAAATCAAATACTAAATATTTTAGGCTATTAGACCACAGTCACTGGCATATATTGTTCTTTCTTCATTCCTTTTTTCTTTTTTAAAATCTACCCTTAAATTTTTAAAACTCATCCTTAGCTCATGAGCTATATATAAACAGGCCTGGGCCAGATTTGACCCATGGGCCGTAGTTTGCTAAACCCTGGTATAAAATAAATGCAACTGGTAATGTGTTGATAATTCCTAAAATCATTTGCAATATATACAAGGACATTCATTATGCTATTTTATCTACTTTGGCATGTGCTTTAATTTTTCATAATAAAAAGTTATATAATTGCTGTAAAACTTTTTGAAAGACCCAAATAACTAAATGAGGGATAGTTAATGTTCATGAATTAACAACAACAATAAACCTAAACCCACTGCCATCAAGCTGATGACAACTCACAGTGCCCTTACAGAGTAGAGTAGAATTGCCCCATGGGGTTTCCAAGGCTGTATGAGCAAACTGCTACATCTTTCCCCCAGGGAGGAGCTGGTGGGTTTGAACTTCTGAGCATTCTTTTAGCAGCCAAATGCCTAACCACTGTCACCAGGGCTCCTTGTTCATGAATTGGGGGGGTTTGAGATTATAAAGATGTTATTTCTTCCCAAAAGGATCTATGGACTCAAAACAACATCAAGCAAATCACAGCAAGCTTTTAGAAACTGGCAAGCTCATTATAAAATGTGTACAGAAATTTTATACATTATATGTTATATATAGCAAATTCTTTAGCAATACAACAATATTAATCTTATTTGCTAATTTTAATTTTGATTAAAAATTTTTGTATATAAATTATGTATTTGCTTAGGTTTATAACTGTATGAGAATCATATGTATATAGTGTTTATATCTAGCTTATATTTACATACACATAAGTAACACTACTCAAAAACAAAAAAGCAACTAAGAGGAATTTAAGGAATGCAGAAATTTTAGCTCTGAAAATATGGTAAAATGAGCTGAAATAAAACATAGAAATTATTAATCAAATATAGTAAGTTTTTTTTACTTACTAAGCTGAATGTGAAAGAAAAGAAAACCCATAGGTAGAAATGAGTATGAAACTAAAAGTCAGCTAGTAAGCTCCTGAATTGATTGTGCTCATAATTCCACGCAATCAGAATCATCCGAGTTAAATACTGAAATTCAATACCATTTAATACCATTCTGCAGAAGACATGGGGATATAAACTAGCCTCCCTCATATAGTAAGACCTCCAAAGGGTATACTGAATTTACAATACCCAGGTGATAAGGAATTCTAAGCTATGATGTAAGCAACAAATTGGCACTAGATCAATTAAATCCCTGAGACAAGAAAGAAAAGTAAATGCAAAATAGCTCAACAGGAACATTTCTACAATCTAAGAAACATCAGTATGCATGAAGAAAATAAATAATATCTGTTAAAGATGAGCTCATAATAGAAACTGAAAACTACATAAAGAAATGATTCCTCATAAGACATAGTTTAAAGATCAACACAAAAAATAAATAGTACAAAGACTTGAGATAAAAGACTTTTTGAAAATTACCATAATCTATGTTCAAAATTATTAACAAGGTAAAAGCAATTTGCTTAAATCCTTATAAAGCAACAGAACACTATGAAACAGGCAGGTATGAAAAATAAGACTGCTATAAAAGCTCTACTCCAGAAATTTAAAGAGCAACATATGGTATGAATAATAAATACACTTAAAGACAAATCTGAAGAACTGCTCAGAATGCAACTAACTCATAGTTATAAAAAGTTTAAAAAAAAAAAAAAAATTAAAAGCAACAACAGGCATTTCCTACAAAGAAACAATAAATGTGGCTAAGAGGCTATAAGATGAAATAACATCTGCAATAAACTGATGGAAAATAAAGGCTAATTCAGAATTTGTAACTCTAGCTAGTTGTGAATCGTTGTTGTTAAGAGCCATCCAGTCGATTCTGACTCATAGCGACCCTAGGCAGGGTTTTCAAAAAGCAGATGATGGGCTTGAACCTTGTGGTTCCTAGTCCAGTGCTGATCCCCTACAGTGCCACAGCAGGACAGAGGTGAAATAAAACCTTCAGATAAGAAGGTTCACACAACACTCAGATTGGAGAACACTTATCTAGGTAAAATCCATCAGCCTATTGAAAGTATGCTGACTCAGGGCAAGTCAAGGATATACAAACTCTTAGTTCTAGAAAGAATTAGTTAGTCTTTCTACCTACCATACAATGTCATTAAGAAAATGTCTAGAAATTGCACAAATGCCTCTAGAGACACGATGTTCACTAAATCATTGTTGCTGTTAAGTGCTGTTGAGTACTTATATATAAAAATATCTTTTGTTTTGCCAGAAAGGTCTTTTTTCTTACTTCTGCTTTTTGGAATGAGATAGCCCTTAAACTAAGCGAAGGCAACAATTAAATGCCTTTAACTATCTTTTTCCTTGTCTAAATAAACCAAATTTCTTTCCAATAGCCCCATAGGATATAGTTTCTAGGTCTTCTAATATTACAGCATTGTATTGTAAATGTACCCTAGATTGCCCACATCTCTTTTTTTAAGACTATAAAATAAATTCAAATATGATCTGATCAACATAAAATAGAAGAGGATTTTGTAGATCAGTTCTAAAACTAGCATACATCAAAATGATCTGGAAAACTTGCGAAAACACAGACTGCTTGACCAAAACTAACTTTCTGTTCAGCAAGTATGAGAAAGCTTGCTACAATTGGCATTTCTAATACATTCCCAGGTGATGCTGGCACTGCTGATCCAGGATCACACTTTGAAACTGTTAGGTAATTTTCTCCCGTTAGCACAATCTAAGAGTCGTTGTGTGGCTCTGTGGGTAATGCACTAGACTGCAAGGTTGGCTTCGTCATTCAAGATCACCAGCCTGAGATACCCTGTACAGAGTCGCTATGATTTGCAACCGACTCAACGGCACTGTAACAAACACAACAACATGATTAACTTAGCATTCTGGCAGTTCCCGCTGATTTAAATTGAACTTGCCATCAATTCAAAATTCCTACATCTTTTTACAGGGACAATTGATTTTTATAGCCCAAATAACATTCCCATTTCTTGTTTTGTATTCCCGGTGAGAAAATACACAAAAAGCATGCTACAGATAGCAGATCATTGGTATATTCATAAATAAAAGATAGCATATTATCCCTTCTGTTTAACTTTTAGTTCATCAAGTTAAAAGGAGTTCCAGATCTCTGCCATCTCTAATTTACAAGCTGAATCAGTTTTTGAGATCTCCTAGTGTCCTTTTCCTGACATTAAGTGAAATCCAAGGCTCCACATTGAGTATGCTACAAATTGCTTTTTTTAATCTCGTAACAACAGCAGAATTGCTAAGGAAGACGAAAAACAATGAATCAACTGAATGATGCTTTCCAAAAACCCTTGAAAAATAACCACTGGCTCCTTCTCAATGATATGAATAATTGAATTGTCCAATGACTAGTTGTCCAAAAAATCAGTTTCATAAATACTTACCCACAACTGAAAAAAAAAAGTTACTTTCAAGTTGGAGTGCTTGACTCCAGTTAGCTAATATGACAAGAAGACAAAGAGCCCTGCCATTTCCACATAACACAGACAAAGGCCCTCTGTGAAGGGATATTAATATGCTAAGAGAACAGTCTTTCAAGGAACAGATGGGCTTGGTGTCAATCACTTAAACTTTAGAAATTAATGACCCTCACTAGCTTTGTTTCGTTATTTTTTGTGCCAACTTCTTAAATACACTTATTCAATCGCACTCAGTTTGACAGACTTAAAAGTTAATCTCAAGAATACAAAGTTCAAGTTTATAAAATTTACCAGCTCACTGAAAGGGCCTACCTCTGCTTATACTTATATTTACCCCAAATCAAGATGTTTTGATTAGCAGAGCATTAATAGTAAAACAATTGGCGATGGTTGTGGGCCATTGAGTCAGTGTTGACTCAGAGCTACCCTGTATGGAATGTGAGGCTGTAAATCTCTATGGGAGTAGAAAGCCTCATCTTTCTCCCTGTAGAGTGGCTGGTGGATTCCAACTGCTGTCATTGCAGTCAGCAGCCCAACTCACTACCCACTGTGTTACTAGGACTCCAAGTAAGACAATCACTAGATTAAAAAATGTAACTTCTGTAACAGTTCTTTTTTCTTGTCTAATTTGTTTATTAAGATGATGCCTACTCTCTTGGCTGAGTTAAATTGGTAATAATTAATTGGTAATAATGTAACTTTTATGACAGTTCTTTTTTCTTGTCTAATTCGTTAAGATGATGCCCACTCTCTTGCCTGAGTTAAATTGGTAATAGTACTTTGTACTTATTGGTAATAAGTGTCTTGTCACTGAGTTGGTAAAAATGTTTTTGCTAAAGGACATGAACATGCTGTTATTACACATCTCTTAAGAAACAAAATCAACTGTTATATAGCAAATTTGAGGGGTCCTTAGACTCAGGTACTCATTCTCATTTTCAAGTCACGAAAGATAATGAACCTTAAGGTTATCAACTAAATTAAAGAAGTCAAATCTCCACAGTTATCTTTTGCCCTAGACTTTTGAAACTTAGCTATGGAGTTCTAAAAGCCTACAAATCAAAAAACAGACATTCACAGAGAAAAAGATGCTGAGCCTGTGATTCTGCAAAGAATAAATACACTGACCAAAGCCCAAATCTTCATGACTGTTGCAAAAAAAAAAAAAAAATTTTTAAAGGGGGGGGGAGGAAGAGGAGGGAATAAAAAAAAAAAAAATTCTAACTTTTAAGTTTTGACTCTATATTTGGTGAAGTGCTCAGAAACCTTTACTAAGGTTTCTAAGAAACCTTGCAAGTTTATCTATTTTAGTATTCTGGAGATGAAAACAAAACATTAACCAACACTTATTTTTCAGAAAACTTACACTAGGCAATGTTGTGGTAAGAAACAATACCAAACTTCCCATGGCTAGCTACTCCACAAATATTTTTTTCTTCCTTATGTTACAGGTCAGCTGTGGGTCAGCTGCAGCTGTGCTCTGTTATCTTGTTTCTTCCAGAACTCAAGCTGAAGGAATAGTCCCTTTCTGGGGCATGCTGTCTTCATGAAAGAGACAAGATGGCCAGGATAGATCCGTGTAACATTTCCTAAGGATCCTGCTTGGAAGTGACATCAAAACCTTCTGTCCACATTTCATTAGACAAAGCAGGTCACACAGCCAAGCTTGATGTCATTGGGTGGGGAATTATAATTCTCTCACAGGGAGAGGCAGAAAATAATTGGGGAAAACAACAATACCACAACCTGCCAACGGAATGAAAATATTTGCTTTCTTTTTTGCCTTTCTGTATACAAAATATGCACAGTCTGCTCTCCAGGGAAGATAACCCCGAAGTCCTATCCAATCATGGCATTAGGTTCACCAAGTCTCACTATAAAATTCAGATATGGCACCTTTTACTCGGGAGACCAATAATCTAAAAAGACAAGTTAGCTGCCCTTCATATACAATACATAATTGCACAACATGGATAATCTAACTGGAAATAAACCTCCAATTTGGAAAGGAGAAGAACGGGAAACACACAACAGTCATTTATTCAGTGTAAATTCTGAAATTCTGAAGGGCAGAAGTTGGGAGGGACCCTTTCTTTAATTGGGTCCTGGTTCTACTCACATGAAGTAGCTTCCCAGTTCACTATTCTCTGGGGCCACTGGCTTTGCTTCCTAGGAGGTAATTTCTTTTCCTGGATTCTACTGGATACATAAGTAAGGAATTATAGAACATTCCCCTTTTCTCCTGAGGTGGCTGAGCTGTTTTCTCAGGCTGCTTCCAATCCATAGAAGGTTGTTGGCCTGTTAACTCCACCAATGCTTGACATTAAACTAACAATCTTCTCTAATTTGATGTGCCCATAAAAACAGAAACAGGATCAAGTTGTATTGTGCTTTTACCTAGATCTTTAGTGGAGAGAGAATAAAACCTGCAATAAGGCCATTTATTCATTGATACCATCAACTGATTTCACTAATGAGTTATTCCCAAGGGATATAAATTTTAGACAGCAAAATTCCAAATACATCCCAGGAGATTAAGTGAGCAATACTCCAAATCATTACATTATAACATTCCCCACAAAAGAGATTTGATCTTTATAACCTTACCAAGCAGTACATCACTGGACATATTAGGTACTCAATATATGTTTGCTACACCAGGACCCCATAAATTGAAAGAAGTGAACCTCGAATTATAAGAGTTCATGTTAGTCTAAATCCATGAACAAGATACTAAAATAGACTAACCGAGGCAAAAGAAGCTTAATTGAATTAGACTTGTACTATTCCAATTTATCCAGGGCATTTGACTCTAGAAGATATATTAAAACTTGTTACAAAATACCCAGAAAGATGGAAATAGAAATACCTAATGATCCAGCAATTCCTCTACTTCATATTTACCCACAAGAAATATGAGCCATAACACAAGTAGATATATGCACACCAATGTTTATAGCAGCACTATTTACAATAGCAAAAAGATGGAGACAGATTAAGTGTCCATCAATGGAAGAATGGATAAACAAACTGTGGTACATACACACAATGGAATATTATGCTACCTTAAGGAATAACAAGGAAGCTTCAAGCCACCACATAACATGGATGAACCTTGAGGACATTATGTTGACATTATGTTCACAAAAGGAGAAATACTGCACAGGACCACCACTGTAAAAAACTAAGAAAAAGAGCCCATACTAAAGGGGTGGTGGTGGTGGTGGTATCTGCTGGTTACAGGGATGTGGGGGATGGGGTGAGGGGAGGGAGGGGAAGGTAGAGCACAGAGTAGGGAATAGACACAGGATAGTTTGGATGCTAGGGAGGGGGACTATACACAAGAAAGTGGAGGGTAATAGAAGAACAAGGCAGATGGGAGAATAATTAGGCAGGTTTGCATGGACTAAGTGTGACAGAGGTAAATAATGATGTATGAACAACCTTGGAACAATAGGGCTCTGGGATACAGGGATTGAGACATAGTTGGAATGGGCAAAAGGGAAGAAATAACGTTAAGATGCTTGGCTGTCTTTTCAATCTTGGTTTCCCTGGCATACCATTATAAAATAGACACTTGATGGGAGAGAAAGGAATAGCCAGAAACATCATCATAGACAACTTGTAAGTCCGTCTTCTGCCTATAACTGATTGGAATATCGAAAATGGGGCTACAATGTGCTCAGTGAAGGAGGCTTTCTGCAGAGCCTCTGCATTACATAAGACCATAGGTGGACTCCTGAACCTCATCCAGAATCTTCTGAGGCGGGAAATTTCCACTTGAAAGGACAAGCAGACCAGCCTGGAGCGGCTAGAAGAACAGAAGATTCTTCTTGAAAGAAAGATCAACAGGAAAAATATAAAACAATAATGGCAGTCCGACTGACAAGAACAAGCAAGCTGCTTCATCCAGGAGATATCAAGGCAAGTGGCCGGGTCCCCTCAGTGCAAACCCCCTTCCAAGACTGAGACTCAATGGGAATACACGAGCAGACATGTGCTCTAACTGGTGAGCACGTTGTTCACCGATAAGGGACAGTGAGGGCAAAACAGCAAAGAAGCTGTGAGCTAAGTCCAACCACGTTCAACACACTCCTGTGAACCATGGTGGACACCTGGTTGGCCAGCGGTTTGGCAAGACCTGGGGACTCTTGGGCCCAGAGTCAGTGACATAGCCACAGAAGACTAGAGTGGAGAGTGAAGTGTCCAGCTGTTAAGAAGAGAGGGCATATGCATAAGAACACCCACACTTGCAGATAATACCCACTTGACTGGGCTTCAATGACTGGATGATCAGAGTTCAACTAGAAGACAAAAGAAGAGGAAAAAAAGAGTAATTCACTACAATTTGATGAACTTGACCAACACCTATGGATGTAGTAGCTCAAAAGAGGGAACAAATCTTTACAGTGAAGATCATTCCCACCCCCTCCATACACAGAGTAGACAGCTATGGGCAACTTGGACACTGGCTACTCAAAATGGGGGTGCTACAAAGGCAAGAAGTGACAGGCTTTCAAGCTTTCAAGAGGGAGCCTAAATCCAGAGGGCACGGAAGAAGGTAGAATCTCCACTGAGCGATATTCAATCTGTCTGGGTGAGGCTGATGAAAGGTGATGGGGATAGGTCTCTTGTGGAACAACAGTGAATAATTGTTATCAGGACTGACTATGAGGGTGGGAAATGTAAAGGTAGACATTTTGTAGCAAAAGGAGGGGAGTAATTGACTCTATAGTCTAGGAGTGGCGGTCTCTGGGACCATCAAGGGAGAAGAGTGGAGTGCGGGACCCTGCCAAAGATGGAGGCAGAGACAATGACATGGAGAGGTGACGCAGCTGGGGACTCTAGACCCAGAGAGGGAGAGAGGCAGTGTGTTGATGACTGGAGGGCAGGCTTGCAGGTTATACCCTTTGGCTGGTTGATGACGCATGGAGGGGACTGTAACCATGGCAATGAAATGATATACGATAAGATGAATGTAAAGCTAATGTTCTCCCATGTAAACTATCGCGTAATTCACAATAAACCATTAAAAAAAAAAAAAAAATTAGCGACAAAAAAAAAAAAAAAAAAAAGACCCAGAAAGAAATATGTGATTTTGAAATGTAGGCCTGTAGCTATTACTCTTTATAAAGAAATTTTATAGGCCAATACTTTTTCTTTACTCATTCAGAAATTACTTTCAATTCACTTTTATTACTTTCATGATTTTTTTTTTTCATGACTATTTCAGATTCTACTAAAGAGTCTTGCTACAGAGATACCTGAAGTAAAATATGAAAATATTGAACTAAGGGA